GTTGCTTTCTATCTCATATACTGTTCATCAGTACTCGTACATAGAGGATGAACGTAAGACACCCATAGGTGATTGTACCTCTACACTTTGGTAATAGAGATGAATTACACTGCATCATACAGATGTCGCCTCCTTCGAGAACTCATCAGTGACGTTAGGGCCCAGAAAGTAAAACTTGATAATATTCGAAAATATGAGGTTACTAAAATTAGCATAATGTTTTTTTTATATATATTAGCATATTTACGGTATATCAACAACTTTTTTTTCTATTATGATCTTTGATACTTTATTACTCGAACAGATTGGAGTTTTAATTATATAGGCCATGAAACTAGTGTCACGTTCTTCTCGTTTTCCCTTTAATTATTGTAGATATTACATAGCCCCATGCAGGATCTTATCAATACTCTCGATATTGATTACTGTTTAAGGGCTGCGACCTAGATGTACTCTACTTTGCACCGTGATCCCGTGTACAAAGGTTGTGAGACATTTGAAGACTCGTGAATACCATCATGTTTTCAGAACAATTTCTCATGACATAATAACCCTTTCTTACCTGAAGATACTTGGGATCATTTTCTCAACAATCCGCTCTAAATAGACATAATTGGAGTTACATGTATCAAAGCTGTTATTTATCTAATTATTAAAAAATCATTTTCGTGATAGGACAAAAACTAGCAATTAAATCGCAGCGATAAAGAGCAAATTACATTTTGTTGAAGAGCTTTTAATGAGCTTACGTTACTTTGTATCACATGCAATCTTTAACTAAGAACTGCTTTGATATCTGGTACAATTCTCAAACTGCACGTTTATTGAGTGTAAAAGTAGAAGGTCTGATTCTGGTTGTGGGGATTTGTGAGTAGATATGTAATTGTTTATTCGCATTAAAATGCAACCATGAAAGAGAACACTAGATGGTAGTCAGGTATACAATTATTTTCCGTGCGACAGTCGCAGAATTTAGATTTTACACAGGTCTATGTAATATTGATCCCCTGCGAACTTTCCTTTTCAGATTTCCATACATCAGACTTTGACAAAAAATACTTAGTTTCATTAAATACTTGATAATAACAGATATAAAGAGACATATAAGAGATATTCAAGAAGGAAGACAAATAATTTTAACTAAAGATTTCAATAGATCTATATATATATTTTTCATGATGATTGTCGATGATTATAAAGTTCAGTTCGAACTGTGGTGAGAAATTAAATATACAATATAGAATGCAACTGTAAGAGTAATGTTCTCAACAGTTAACTTTTATTATCGAGATAGTGTCACGTCATCACTGGGTGTTAATACCAACTTTGAAATTAACAAGTATCTCCCAGATCTGCGTATGCAAGATTATAAGACTATTGCATGCTTAGGGGTGTAGGACAGGGAAATTCCACCCGAGGGAGAATATTTTGGTAAAACCCGAGGTTGTTGACGTGAAGTGTAAGACAGAATATATTTCCCTGTTCGGAAGTGTGAAAATCTCTGTCTAGAAGAAAACTATTCGACGCTGTTTAGATTGAAAGCTTGTTTCGTTTAGATAACACGGTCGCTTATCGTACCACCGCCTTCTATGTCATCACATTTAACTTTCATAAAACATAGATTCATAACGAGCAATATCTTTAGTATTATACAAAACGCTGTTAGGAGCAGTGAAATAATTGCTAAGACCTTCCTTTAAAAGGTCAAATGACACCGCCTCTAAAGATAGGTACGGTGTAATACCCTTGTCTGAGGTCGACGACAAAATATGGACCGAGGTGTAGGAACTGTTCTAACATGCAACTTGACACTAAGGTATATGCTTTAAAACCTACAATAGACACTGTACTACGTGCCACCGGGATGTCCTGTAATGTTGTCCACCCTTTACCGCTAACTTATTCCACTTCCTGCAATTCATTTAATTTTTGTGGAACATGTTTTGCACCACTGTATCCCTTACGCTTCTAATGATACTCATAGCTGAAAATGAGATATAGAAATTGAATTAACAGGGAATTTTGTTAAAACAAACTATCTTCCTGCCTACTGCTGATACCTATTTGCTGGTCGATACCAATTCCCTTGAAATCCATACTGCATACATTTGTATATCATTTTATAGGTCTATAACAGGTTAACACTATAAAATTAACAAAATGTACATATGTTAAAGTCGATACACAATCCACGTCATAATCTGAAGAGACGCGAACTAAAGACACCATATTGCCCATAAAGTGATATACTGGTCAACAGTTCTATAGAAATACAGTAAGATTTCTGATCACGCAATTGTAGGTTCTGAATTGCATACTGTGATAACACAACATGGAGGTGGGGGGAAGTGGGTGTTGTTACTGTTTGTATGAAACATTACGGTAAAACTCCGTAGTGTTTGCCTGCGGTGGATCATGGATTATTAAGCTTCGATCGCGAATTCAAGCACCGCGCGAACAACATATGGAGACAAAATGTGAAACATTAACTTCACAAATAAGTACAGAAACGTGATGTCGCAATATGAAGTTTGCAAATATTATAAATCCAGTTTGCAACTTACAGTAAACTGAACATAAATGTGTCTTATGTTAATACAGTACTGATAAATATCATAATATCAATACTTTACACCAAAAGTAAGATATCAGTAAATACTTGTTCTCGTATCGAATGTTCTCGTTTCGAATGTTCTCGTTTCGAATGTTCTTGTTTCGAATGTTCTCGTTTCGAATTAAGTAATATTCATCCGTTCATTCAATGTTATATGCAAACCTATCTCTGTTAAATTTAGGATTTTCCACCTGAAAATATCCTTTACGTCATCAATATGCAAGATAAATAAAATGCATTATTTTGGTCTCGCACCTTTTAGTTCGAAAAAACTAATCCAATTTTGCTAAAGATTACAATTATACTGTCTGGAGCCTCAACTAAATATGGCCCCTACACGACTAAAGCTACATTTGAATGCTTTCGTGTAAAAATGTAGTCCGTCTTTACAAAGAAGACAACGTATTTCACCACGTTGATTATATCATATTAACATCATCAGATATCTAACTTTATTATGTACATCAAAACAATACATAAAACGATAAAAAAGAAATGAATAATGCAGATTGTCAATTTCGTGTCGTTAACGCGCGGATGAATCCGTCGCTGTGCGAAATGACCTATGATGGTACCAAACAGATCGGACAAGATAGAAAAGTCTAGCATGGGGTATAACGTGGGATATATCTGTCTGAGGTGCGAGAAACTCCTAGTTATCCTTATCTCAAGTGTTAAAAAGAAGATATACGTTTTAGATTTTTCCTGGGTTTTTTTTAATTCCGGAACTCAATCGGGACAATACATGTCTGTTAACTTCAACAAAATCACTTTTCAATCATTCATTGTCTTATAGAACTGGGTGGTTATGTGAGTATTGATGCTTTAGAATGATGAACCATGGAACATGGTAACTTTAAGGACATGAGGAACTAGAAAGTAAAAAATACAATCTCTAACCATTTGTATCATGCTAAAACGAAAGGCGAACATGTTAAAAAAGTCAACATAAATCATTATTTCTTTTACAAAAATTATGAAACAAACAAATAAAATAAATCACTCTTGTTGGCAAGGGCGTCTTTGTGTTAGAAAAACCGGACTCCCGCAAGAAAAAAAAGATATCACGGATTTGGGCAGGTGACCCAATACTGTATCACTTGAGATCGCAGAATCAACAAACCGGACCGAATCGGTAACAGGCGAACGTGTACCCCGCTAAAAATATGTCGATCGCGATGTAATTTCTCCTTTAATATCGTCTGCAGTGTTTTCCTGTGATCGACAATATTCTGATTGGTAAAGAAAGCCTTTGAGATGAACGTATCACACCAACACAAGTGAATGCACGTTTTGAAATGTTGGTTATTCCGTCTTTGCATATTGCAGAGTTATCTTCTCTTGTGAGCAGGTATTGGTTGTTACGTCATTGGTTTGTGTGAGAAAATTACGTCGTTTTCTCAAAAATTGATCACGTTACTCTCACAAACAAATGACGTAACAATCAATACCTGTTCTCAAGAGCAGATAACTTTGCAATACGCAAAGACGGAATAGATACAGAAACCAAAAATGATATACACAGCGCCATGCAGCTGTTCCGTCCGTAAAGGGATTATTGGTGATGCTAAGGGCGTAACGTTAGAATTCCAAATTGGTATAAACTACTGCTGAAACAGAAGGGGATGTGCATAAAACGAATTTTAAAATTTAGAAAAGCACAGATTAATTTCAAATATATAACGAGGAAAGTGTGTATATTATGAACCCTGCCACTACTCAACAGAGACAATTATGGCTTTTAAGGTTACGGCAAACCTCGGGGACGAAACATCCACCAGAATATTTTACAATCATGTATCTTGAATGATAAACATCACTGACACACACTATTGATTGTACCTTTTGGAAATAGATACAGTATACCAAAAATTAGTTCTGACAATTCAGTTCAGTGAAGTCATTTTGGAGAAGTTACAAACATGGGTAATTGCCGAGGGAGTTAGTCTGCGGTGATGTTTTGAGTTTTCGAACTAACACACGGCTATTAGCCAGTAACTCGCTTGCCAATGAAGTCTGGCAGAAACCAAATGTACATATTCAGATTTTGAGTCAACTATCGTAATTATATAACTCCTATGACAGATATCAACACCAATTATGATGTAAAAATAAGACAAGAGACATGAAGTCATCATAATTTAGCGTCTTACGGAAAAGGGCATTAAATGACGACGTTTCTAATGAAGAATTCACAAATAACTAAAATTAGGCTTATTCAATGAATCTCATATGACATTCATTTAGTTTTCTTCATATATACAATTGGTGAAAATAAGGTTATTAAAATAATATAGAAAAAATATTAATTTCTAGAATAAATAAATTAATAAACAATAAAATTAATTAATTGGTAAACATTGATAAACGGTTTAAATCGGCTTACCTTTAAGACTCAGCAGGAACGTAAAAAGGATCAGGAAAATACCACGTTCCCGGACCAGCATTCTGTCTCCAGCCCACGCCATACCCAAGTCACTTACTTGGATAGTTCGGTCGGGATAGATAAATCACCCAGGTGGTGACAGTACTTATAGCACGAGAGACATTTGATTATGAATTAGATATTTAAATTAGCCCGTTGAATATCGATATTGTAAGTATACACATGACTGGAAAGTGTGACGAAAGAAGGTCACGGTCGATTTCAATTCAAACGTCTTACAATGTGGATACACGAGTATAGGGGATAGACACGAGTTATTGTGTTAACTGTTATAATGCGGAAAGTTTTATAACGCTTTAAATATGTACAGAAATATAACTATTGTTTTGCATTGTACGAAGGTAACCAATCTGAAAACTGCTTTTGGCATGTGCTAGCTACTCTCAGCTATAAACTTGTTGAATCATGAGTGTTTCTTTAACGGCTTCATTAAATAATAATCATTCATTCAGTTAAATTTTCAAATAATAACCTTTTTTTAATGTGTAGAAACAGTGATATTTTATTTAAAGTCGGTCGTTTTGAATACTAGAATATGCTGATTCTGCTTTTAGTGTTAATTACTATAAAAATATACCCGGCGTCAAAATCCATTTGAGATTTGCGACGCAAAAGTCCTGCTGAGTTGCCGACTTTTAAACAATGGCACTATTACTGTATCATATAAAACATGTGGTTCATCAGTACACATGTACTGACCGAAAGTTGAGAAAAAACAAAAGGGCTTGTGATCCATCATGATCCCCTCAGCAGATGTTAGTTTTACTTGTGATCCCCCATAATCCCCTCAGCAGATGTTTGTTTTACTTGTGATCCGCCATGATCCCCTCATCAGATGTTTGTTTTACTTGTGATCCGCCATGATCCCCTCAGCAGATGTTTGTTTTACTTGTGATATACCATGATCCCCTCAGCAGGTGTTTGTTTTATTTGTGATCCACCATGATCCCCTCAGCAGATGTTAGTTTTACTTGTGATCAACCATGATCCCCTCATCATATGTTAGTTTTACTTGTGAACCGCCATGATCCCCTCAGCAGATGTTTGTTTTACTCGTGATCCACCATGATCCCCTCAGCAGATGTTTGTTTTACTTGTGATCCACCATGATCCCCTCAGCAGATGTTTGTTTTACTTGTGATCCACCATGATCCCCTCAGCAGATGTTTGTTTTACTTGTGATCCACCATGATCCCCTCAGCAGATGTTTGTTTTACTTGTGATCCACCATGATCCCCTCAGCAGATGTTTGTTTTACTTGTGATCCACCATGATCCCCTCAGCAGATGTTTGTTTTACTTGTGATCCACCATGATCCCCTCATCAGATGTTAGTTTTACTTGTGATTGTTTATAAGGTTATTTAAATCTCAATTTTTCAATTACCAAAAGTGAGCTGGTATACAACTGACCAATGCAATCGTAAAAACCGTCAATGCATCACTGGTTTGACAATCTGACCAAATCCGCTGAGAGTGACACAACACAGATGAGTATTTTATATAAATGCAAGTATTTTACAGAAGTGTTTCCGATGTCGAACTTTATGGGTTCTTAAGATTTTAGTACTATACCAGTTACCAGTGTACCAACTTGTCCACAGGACTTCACTCACTATAGATGATAATGTCAAATTTAGTTCTGTTTGCAATGCTTGTGTAAGAAATAATTGGCAAATATAACATATAAAACAATTGTGTAGAGGTACATCTTTAAATTGCATTTGTTTGTTTTTGTCCTCAATATTACTCAGTACAAGATAACGGAATAACCTTAATGCGTACTCTTATCAGTCAATGATTATGAAAGGCAACGTTTGTCAAGATTTTACAACTTTACTACATGTACGAATTTAACTTACCTGACAATTTAAACAGTAGGAACGCTACCGTACACTAATTATTGATTTTTTTGTTAAATACACGAAAGCATAACAACAGCGCCAGGAGACACAAAGGGTCAAAATATAACATACTATAGCGATCACACAATGGTAAAAAAACCACGTTATAACACTAAGGATCAAAATATAACATGATAAAGAGATAGCACAAAAGGTCAAAATATAACATACAATTGCGAGCACAGAACGGTCAAAATAAAGAGTTATAACACTAAAGATCAAAATATAACATCATAACATGAACACACAATGGGTCAAAATATTACATGTTTTAAATCAACATACAAGGTCGACAAAAAGCATGCATATAATAAACTAGAGTGAGCAAACAATGTCAATGGGCACGACGTCTGTATGGTTGAGTTTATGTAAATTGCTGTGGTGGTTCGACCCCAGTGTCCACCCAAGACCTCTAACGGACCACTATGATACAATGAGTCAAATTACACAATGTAGCACTATAGTAAATATTCTGGTGATAAAGGCCTGAGTAGGGCCTAATCGTTTAAAAGTAATTAACTTAATAATTTTTAAAAGTCGGAACTTTTATCTTTTGCTTATCTTTGAAAGCCATTAACGGAGTTATTTTTTTCCAAAAAGGTCAAAAATATTGAAGTCGAGTATAATTACATGCAACCTTACGAGTTCTTATCTTGTATGTTGACCAAATTGATAGAGGTTGGAACTTGTTATTTAATATTGACTAAGCCAATCACCTTTTGAACAACAGAGCCCGTAGATGCCTAGGAAGTCGCTGCCGGAAGTACAATAATAGAGATAAAAGGGAAAAAAGGAAACCACATGGATACCTGTATGTTATAAAAAAGTTTAAGCAGACCATATTTGTCCTTAATTAGCATCCAAAATAAGTTGTTTCAGTATATGTTTTCGGTGTACCGAAACTATGGGCGTCAGCACATAGCACAAATACCCAAAAACATGAACTAAATTCTAAAATGAAAAAAACAAACTTCCGGTTCTTATGAATAGAAAAGAATCAACGAACAGTTTGAAAAAAATACGAAAAACAGGACAACATTTTAACAGTCCTAAAATGACGATATCGAAATAGACCTCCTGGTACCAGATTATATTGGGGAATTTTATCAACACAAATCTAAAGTGAAAGACATGTATGATTGGGCTGTATGGAACGCCCCACAGTTTGACTTGCGTTTACACCATTGTGTAGTCCTCATAACTAGCGTTCTTCACACAGCAAACTCTTTTGATATGACTATTTCGTATTAGAATTGCCGATATAGATCTAGAACTGTCGTCCATTTAACAGTTTGTTTCATCTAGTTGCTGTTCGTTTCCTCGATTTCTCCGGACACGTCACGCCGAGTGCAACACATGGTATAAGAAACGCTTACACCTTCGAGGTCCTTGGTTTCACCTCCATTTTAGTATTAATTTTGTTCAAGTTGACCTCAAGATACTTTTGTATCGCCACAGATCAGTTCTTTGTTTTACCAACGTTGAACTCTGATGTTGAACATGTGTGCGACATCTCAGGTCAATGGTGAGAATCACGTGTATGCTTCAAATTTTGGTAAATAAAGGTTGGTGCGATTCATATCTGGAACAGAAGACTTATGTATTTATTCAGAAACGCATTGACAACGAACCGATGTCAGAACAAAAATAACATTAGTACATGTGTGATATATCAAGAACCTCTTTAGGAATATAACCCTGGACGTATTGGTAAATGACAAAATTGTGATTTCAATACAATGTATACTAGCGGAATAAAGAATCTGTGCATGCCTAAAATGTGTAATGAAAATAAATGTGTATGACGTAGAACAACAAGGTTTTCAGGGACAATTTATTTGTTATTTATTAACAGTTGCATTCCATTTTCCACGTTATGGAATCAATAAGTTACTCTCAGAAGTGACGTAAACACAGCGGGGGTCAATACTGAGTTCACAAAGTTAATACCTCGTATGTCCACCGTTTGCCTGAATGCAAGCCTGGCAACGTCGGCGCATGGAGCCTATCAGACTGTTCAAGAATGCTTGTGGGATTGCATTCCAGATCTGTACCAACGCTGCAGCCAAATCAGCCAACGTCACCGGTTGATTAGGTAATGCACGTAATCTGCGCTTCATTCATCCCAGACGTGTTCAATGGGCGACAGATCGGGAAATACAGCAGGCCAGGGCAACACGTCAACGTTCTGCTGGGCCAGAAAGTCCATAGCGACACGAGCTGTGTGTGGCCCGGCGTTGTCCTGCTGTAGCGTAATGTGACGTTGCTGCCCTTGCACGAATGGAACGACGTGGGTCCGGAGGATCTCGTCACGGTAACGTAGCGCGTTCAAATTCCCGTTAACAACCACCAGAGGCGTTCTCCCGTTGGCTGTGATGCAGCCCCAAATCATAACCCTGCCTCCGCCGAAAGAACGTCGTTGTACCACACAAGCGTCACGGAAACGTTCTCCAACGCGACGATACACTCTGGAACGACCGGCACTACTATCCAGGTGGACTCGCGACTCGTCCGTAAACAAAATGCCTGCCCGATCCCGTCGAGTAAATCGCAAATGCCTTCTGCACCAGTCCAGACGTGCTACACGATGACGTGGCAAAAAAACTGGGCGGATTGCAGGACGTCGCGGACGGATAGCTCGTTCACGCAATCGGTTCCGTACAGTTCTCGGGCTTATTGGTAGCAACCCAGGGATTGTCCGTGCAGTCAAACTTGCCGTTTGGAAGCGATTTATCAAATGGACAAGCCGAATATGGTTGTCCCGTTGACGTGACGTCACACGTGGACGTCCCGCACGCGGTCGATCGCCGACGTGGCCAATCTGTTGATGTCGTCTCCGCAAATCCCGGATTGTGTTTTGATGGACATGAAAACGTGTAAAGACAACGGCTTGGCCTATACCAGCATGAAGCATACCAATAATCCGGAGGCGGTCATTTTCATTGAGCCTCGGCATAGTATTAATCACAAATTAAAACGATATAATGCTGTTTTTACTGTTCACTGGTCTCAATAGAGTGACATAACAGTTGAAAAATAAACGTTCATTGTCGAATTGGATGTCTGGACGAGAAAAACGTGCAAACTGATCAACGCCTATAGAGAGCAAACTGCACGGGAAAAACTGTCAATGACACGGA